ACTTGCTTTAGAAAATAATCTCTCGCATTTCGTTTCACAATAACATTAAATAATCCACAATAACAACAAACAGAAATGCGTGTTTGGAAAAAATGGACAAGTATTACTCGAGTTAATCTTAGTACCACCAAAAAATAATTAAAAAAATATGTCGACCGTTACAACGTTAATTACTATTCAAATAACTTTTATTTCATCTCTGACTGAATTTATATTTAAAAATGGCCAGGTTGCTTAAATTCACCACTATTTCGGTTTTATGACACGGTTTCCCTAGTTTACATTTCATGTTTTGTCACTGAACACTTTCTTTTGAGGGCACTTACTGGAGCATTTCATTTCATAACTCGAGATTAGTATCCTGGGTTCTAAATCCTGGATACTATCAAACCTGGTTAACTTTTGAACAATTGTTAGATTAATCTAGCTCTTCGTAACTGAAAACAACCTGCAAACTCCCAGAAATGTATTATTCAAGTGAGTTTTTCCTCACGTCAAGCATCCGATTGTCTCTTTCGAGTGATGTTATGGGCCGCATTCAGGAATTTTTGGTTTCTCCTTGGCGAATTTTTGAAAAATCCATGTTGTCCAATGACCGATCACTTCGATTTAGTATCTGAAAAAATCCTGAAAACGCCCAGAAATTCCCTATTAAAGTTAGGTTTTCTTCATTTAAAGCCGCAGAGTTTCTCTTTTGAGTGATATTCTGGGCGGGCTTGAGAGATTTTTTAACTCGTCTATCTGTACCAACAGCCGATCTAAGGCTCAGTTACTAAGGAAGAGATATTCCTTATTAACTGAAAAAATCATGGAAATTCCCATAAATTTCGTATTTAAGCAAGTTTTTCCTCACTTAAAGCTGCTTCTTCGCTTTCGAGTGACATTCTGGGCAAGCTTGAGATAATTTTGGGTTTCCCTTGATACATTTTTTTCAAACTCGTCTTTCTATACCTCAGGTTTTCCTCCTTTAAGGCCGCAAATATCCTATCTATCCTATACAAATATCCTATTTATACCAACGGCCAATTGCATCCTCTTAGTAACTGAAAACGTCCTGAAAACTCCCAGAAATTTCCGCTATTCAAGTAAGTTTTTCATCACTTATAGCAGCCGATTTTCTCTTTCGAGTGATGTTATGGGTAGCTTTCATTAATTTTTGGTTTTTTCTCGCCGAATTTTTGAAAAATCCGCGCAACGACCAACTGCTTCGATTTAGTATCCGAAAAAATCCTAAAAACTCTCAGAAATTTTCTATTTAAGTGAGGTTTTCCTCATTTACTTAATACCGCAGATTTTCGTTCTAGCGATATTCTGGGGAGGTTTAAAGATATTTTTTGTTTTTTCTTAACAATTTTTTTAAATCCGTCTCGTAAGTGATACTTTTTGCGCTAAAAATGTAATAGTAAATAAAAAATGTTTTCTACGCAATAAAGTCCCGTTTTGCAATGATTTTCTTAACGTAATGCCCTGCTTAAAATCATTGTTGATTGGTTATTCTAGTAGGAAAACCATCCATTTTAATCGCAAGTTATTGCAATTTATGATGAACTCGATTTGCCACGCTGCTGATTGTTGACCCAAAAGCGATAAGCAAAGTACCGGCAGGCAGGCCATGCCCCCATTTGCGCGAATGCAAAATGTCAAGGTCGCTCCAATCGTGCAAAATCCGGGACCTCACCCTTAATGCGAACACGATATCGCCATCCAGACGATTCGGAAAATGGCTTTTGTTCCAAGGCCGCCTGCCACTTGGCCAATTAAACATTGACAAAGGATTTTGTTCCAGAAATTTCCATGGACTGGTCGGACCACGCCCTCTGGTGGCCGGAGCAGAACGTTTGGCTGACGAGGACGCGATCCACTTTAGATCAATGCGGGGTGCATGCGGATGCTCTGCTCCATTTCACTCCCATGCACAAGAATTTAAGGGTGCAGCTTCCGGATCTCAGGTGGAACTTTGGTGTTTATCCAGAATCAATCCAGAATGTCTGGAATTTGTTTTGTTTGAATAGGTATCTGGATATGCGGGTGGATTTTTCCATCAAGACCTTTTCGGCGGTTGTGGACGTGTGCAAAGAGCTGGGCATCCGACATCCCGAGGAACTCTCTTTCTGCAAGCCATTGGAGCCTAATCACCTTAAGTTCAACTACAAGCACCTGCCGAAAAAGAAGCAGGAGACCAATGGCGTGCAAAAGAACGGCCATCTGCCGCCCGATACCAACACTTTCATCGGTAAGAGGCGTTTTGCGAGGTTATGTAAACGCTAAGAGTTGTCGATTCGCAGCCAATAGCAGCCCGGCTGGCAGCACCGGCAGTCTGGATAATTCACCCTTCATGTGCGCCCCTGTCACTCCATCCAGGGTGGTGCCGCATTCGTCCACACCAGTCGGCACTCCCGTGGGAACTGTAAGTGCCGGCTTGCATTTCTGCGCTAGAAGATTTAAAACTCGTGCTTCTTTCAGATGGGCACTTGGAAGAGGAACGGGTACGGTTCGGAACTGAACGGCTCTGCCGGCTACTCGCCCAACGTGACCAATACGAGTCTCAGCTTAGAACAGCTGAATGGCACATTTGACAGTAGTTTGGCTTCCAGTCCCCCTACTCCGGCTCTTGAAGCTCGCAAGTACCTGGTGCGGCCCAAATCTCTTATTGAAAAGGCCCGAATGAATGTTGGGTGAGTATTTGATTGACATCTCTCGAAAAAACACACTATTTATCTTGCCAGACTGATGGGTAGGCATGGGTAACTCAGTTAATATTCAGGAGTTGGCGCAGGGATTCCGAAATGACTTGGGGCGCCAACCCAACGCAGCGGCACAGTAACACAGGTGCAAGTCGCAAGTGCGACACAGTGACACGCGACGTGTTAAAGGTCTAAAATAACGAAAAATACTATAAGTTCAGGGTTGTGCGCTCTAAATATCGTTAAGATTTCTTCAAAAGTTCAATATTTCATTTATGTAGATTTTTTAAAACAACGCAGGAAAAACGGCTAATACAAATATAGGCAATTATATGTTAGATCTTGTTGATATGATGTCATATACGCAGAACCAATGCCATAAATCTCGAACCAGTAATTAATAAACAAAACCAAATCAGCGGCCATCAATCACCAGTCTAATGTATTCCAAGAAGGTAAAATTCCTAAGATAAAGTAATCTGCAAAAACCCCCCCCAGCCATGATGCCGGGAATGATGACTGAAGCATATTCAAGCAATAAAAGCAATACTCAACGATTATTTTCAGCTTATTATTATTTCTCTCGCTGTATGTGACAGACCAATAGATTCACTTGTTCTTGGCCAATTGTATTATTTTTATAATCTAACATATACATATTTCTGAAATCAGGGAAAAAATCTAATCGACCTGTCTAAAAATATACAGGGTGGTTTTTTAAATCTTGAGATGCATACATATTTCGGAAACGAAAAAGTGTTTCAAATAAGAAGTTTATATCTGAGAGGGAGAATTTTATTCGTGTCAGAAAAACAACGCCTACTTCGACATTGTAGGCTAGGCAGGAGCCAACTTGAGAATTTCAACATACAACATAACAACAACATATTACTCTAGTTCCAGTTCCAGTTACCAGTTCAGAGTTGTGCGATCAATAAAGAAGAGTGCTCTCTAAATGTCAAAATTCCTTCAAATCTTCCTGAATTTTGCGCGGTTCGTAAATGTTGATTTGAAAATGAAAGCTTTTACGCTACTGCATACCATTAAAAAAAAATCAGTTGAAGTCAGTAGAAGCTTGGAAGATTTGGAGACAAACTTGAGATATGCTTGTCAAAAATACAAAGCCGCCCAGAATATTTCCAAAGTTTAAATATTTCATATCAAGGAATCAGTGGTTTTATCGGAACTAAACCCCGACTATCAGTAAGCTGATGCTAATTGTATTGAATCTTGGAACCCAAATTTCGGTATCTGAAGCGATTCATTAGCGAAAAGCTTAATATTAAAATACAAAACCGCTCAAAATATTACCAAAATTTAAAAATTAACTACGAGAGAATGAGTCAGTTGATGAATATGGGACTACAGGGGTAAAGTAATGTTAAGCTTACCGAAAGCTGCGTAGTGCCACCTGAGAAAAAAGAAGAAAATGTGTCTAATACAGCAGCAATTCTGTCCAAAGCCAAACTTATTTGAAATCAGCAAAGCAACGAGTGAGAAATATAATCCATAAAAAATAGTTTACCACACTTTCACAAACTACCGCACTTCCTCTATATTTCTCATCTAAGAACTCCATTCACACGACACAAAGGGTTATCGACCGATTTCGTCCACTGTCGGTAGCAAACTGAATACTCATACACCTTTTCGAAAGACAAAT